CTGCTCCTCTGATGCTGCTTGACCTGCTGTGTTCATCCAGCTCTACACCTTGTTATCTAAAAAAATCTTTTTGTTCTGTTTGTTACTAAACTCAGAGGATATGCTATGTTTTAGCAATAAGTTATGCTGTGTTGGACTACAGATTTATAATAACTGAATAAGTCAAATTTCATTTTTATTACATAGCATTTTGTGATTGTTCTGTGCTGTGATTTTAATCTTTAACTCCTTTATTCTGTAAACCAACATAAATAAGTAGGGTTTGTTTTATGTATACTTATTTTTTATCTCATATCATTTTAAACTCAGGATATACTGAACAAAGGTACACAAGCTGTATACGCTAAAGGTTGGTTTCTGGCATTTAGTTGTATTGGGAAGGGAGGTTTAACTGTACCAAAGTCAAGTTCCGATAGTACTGGGGCTGGACTTGAGTTTTGGTGATGATCCTGAGGTAACTGAACTAGAACAGGTGTCCACATGCTTGGCAGAACTGCAGATGGGAATTCTGAAGTTTGGCAGGCGTGCGGAAAGGCAAATCAGATCATAGAATTATCATGGAATCCCTATAGTGTGGAAACAGGCCCTTCGGCCCAACAAGTCCACACCAACCCTCAGGAGTATCCTGCCCAGACCCATCCCCCTATAAGCCACCTAATCTACACATCCCTGAACACTAGAGGCAATGTACCATGGCCAATCCACCTGGCTTGCACATCTTTGGACTGTGGGAGGAAACCGGAGCACCCGGAGGAAACCCACGCAGACACGGGGAAAATGTGCAAACTCCATACAGACAGTCGCCCAAGGGTGGAATCAAACCCAGGTCCCTGGCGCTGTGAGGCAGCAGTGCTAACCACTGAGCCACCATGCTGCCCTTTTTAAAAATGACTATTGTTTGACATAACTGGTCTTTGGTGTTTGGATGAGGCTACTGGTGGATTTTTATTATTCAGCTGTTGCTTTCACTGACTGAGAATTTACTGGAATGGAATATCTTGCAACATGACTTCTAATACTGTGCGTAAATCAATAAACATGTAAGTTGATAATGAGGATGGCAAAAGGGCATCAGGCCCACGAGGGATTGATGTGACCAGTACTCTGCCTTGTTAACCAAAGGTGCAGTGAAAAAGAAAGAAACAGAAACAATGGAAGAAGGAAATTGTGATTTAGAATCAAAATGAGGAACAGGAAAAACGTAAAACTGCATTGAGAAATAGAAAACAAAGGAACTGAAAGTAAGACGGTGAAAAATTGTGAATTTAAGTTTAGAAATACCTAACAACAATTTACTACTTGAAGAAATGATATTCTACAATTGGAATTCTCCCTTTCCCAAGGTGAGAAAAGGTGGGAGAAAGGACCGACGGAATTGCTTTTACAGAGCATGTGGTAGGGTTTCAGTAGGTTGAACGAGGATTCCAGATTATAAATTCCCATTTCTCACAGTTTCTGGTACAAACATTTCTTGAAGTGGAGGGAAAATGTCTAACTGATGGAGATGCACCGAGATTCTCGGTTCCAGTAAATTGTAACACACAGCATGCTGGCAATTTTTAGGCAAAATTTAAGTCTATAACTGAAAGTAGTAGTAGTGGATTGCAGTTACATTCAGGCCGTATCAGTGAAGCAGAGAGGTACTAAGTGATTTGAAGCGGAAGGTCTGTCTGTAAAAGGAAGCAATATACGGGAAATGAAATGAAAAACCAAACGCTCTGACCGTCTAGTCAGCCGTGGAATCAGTTTTCAGCTGTAATGCACCTCAGGTTACCTCAAATAAACAATTAACGACTAGGATTGTCTAAACCAAATAAAAAGTTATCGGAGATTTGAATAGCTTAGTCACCTTCAACTTGAACTATGCAGTCAAAGTGTCACTTCTGAGCTTTATTTTTGGATAACATAATTATAGTCACCAACTGAGTGTTCTCTTTCAGAACCGTAGTGGCGCCACTCACAATAAAACCAACCTTCCAAATCCATCAAATTGTCTTTATTGTCTGTAGAATTCTACTCTCTGATATTCAGCCCTGAAAGTCTAATAGAATCTGTCATATCCGTCATAGAATAGGAGACAAAAGCCAATTCTGAAGCCCCAGGCAGCAGGCTTTGAGAGTTAATGTCTGCCAGTAGCATTAAGGATTGAGCCTCCAGTCTGACTAAATGGGAGGTGGAGTCGGTATTTAAAAGATAACCGGATAACAACGAAACTCAATAACATCAACGCCCCGCGATTGAGAAATGATTGTGCAGAACTGCCGGGCAGTTGCCCTGATATGAAAAGCAGGTCAATGCAGAAGAAACGTCAACAAACGTGGAAAAGCATGAATCGCTATATTGTCAACAACACAGAGAAATTGTCAATTCGTGAAAACCCGAGGGGCACCTAAGGCGGGGAGGGGGGAAGAGGAGGTGTCATCCGAAAGACTGAAAAGGCTATTTATCTGTTTGGAGCCTGATCACTTTACGTTAGTGTTTGAGAAGTATTTGATTTTGTGTTGAGAGTGGGTGGGGATTCACTCAGCAGCTGGCCAACGTTCAAACATTTACCCAGTGACTGGTTCGAAGTGAAACTACAGGAGCTGTGCCGGAAGGAAGTTCTCCGAGGCGGCGAGACGCACAGACGTTGCCGGTAAACGGGAGGCTGCGATATGGCTGGAGACAGGACGCTGGCCTCCCGGTACCGGGGCTCAGTCTCTGCACCCGCTGGAGTGCTGGGACTCGGTGGACTGTGAGCGCTTTCCCCCGTTCCCTCCCTGGAATGAACGGCAGCTGCTGCTTGCTGTAGCGTATTTCAGGGGCCGGACTGACGCAGTGGAAAGTTGGTAGTGGGCAATGTGTGACCGCTCCATGTTGTTGTGGATGGCCAGTGTGCAGCCGGCGCTGCTGCTGCTGCTGCTGGCCCCCTTCAGCGGCGTTTACTGCCTTGTGGACTCCAACAGCTCGACCCCAGCACTTTACTACGTGACGATCGGAGATGGCACCTCCACTGAATTTGAGTTTCCTGAAAACACCAAAGGCATCATTGTGGTTTCCAGTCGCTATGGGAGCGCCGAGGAAAAGGATGGTAGTAAACTGCTCGTTCAGTCTCTGGATCCGGATGTCCTCACCATCATTAACGTCAGCGATGCCGAAACCATAGGATTTGTGAAAAGTTACATTGTCAGCATCAAATCCGGTCTGGCTGGGACTGCGCCGCTCTTAATCCGCCTTGTGGATGTCACCAGGGTTGAGCCATTCACTGTGGAAGAACGAACAGATTATATTATTAAAGTGTCTCCCGGTGATGATGATCTAAGTTCTACTAGTCTGGCGCACTTTTCTCAGAACCCTGTCCTTTATTTCCTCCTGCCGCTAGTTTTTATAAATAAGTGTGCGTTTGGTTGCAAAGTGGAGTTAGCAGTCCTGCGAGGTCTTCTCAAACAGCCACATCCGGTCATTCTGGGAGTGATCGGGCAGTTTCTGCTGATGCCATTGTATGGATATACTTTGTCCAAGGTCTTTTCCCTTCCTAAAGCCCTTTCCCTTGGGCTGATAATAACTTGCTCTACCCCGGGAGGAGGTGGAGGTTACCTCTACAGTTTGCTTCTAGGAGGGGATGTGACCCTTGCCATCTCCATGACCTTGATCTCGACTATAGTCGCGACTGGTATGATGCCACTTTCATCCACCATTTATACCCATATTCTCAATGTTCACGAAACGCTGCATGTCCCATTTACTAAGATTCTTGTTACGTTGCTGTTTATAGCTATTCCCATTTCAACTGGAATGCTGATAAAATATAAATTGCCACGGCTCAGCAAGTTCTTACTTTTGCTTATTCGACCCCTCAGTTTCATATTAATCATTGGAGGACTCTTCATGGCTTACCAGATGGGAGCAGCCATACTTTACAATGTTCGTAAGGAGATAATTGTTGCTGGAGTTGCTGTACCTGTGTTTGGATTGCTTATTGGATATCTCATGGCATATTGCTTAAAATTACCTGTTCCTTTGTGCAAAACAGTCAGTATAGAGATTGGAGTTCAAAATAGCCTGCTAGCCCTCGCAGTACTCCAGTTGTCCTTCCGTCGAATCGAAGCAGATTTTGCCTCGCAGGCCCCGTTTATAGTGGCTCTGAGTAGCACTTCAGAAATGCTGCTACTTGTGATCTTTCACCTTCTCTACAAAAACCTCAAGCCACATCCGGTCTCTGAAGGATTTAAGTCCTGATTTCTTTGAGTTTGCTCAAAAGAAACGAATTTCCTGCACTGCGAAATGTTTGAATATTTTTATATTGAGCAATTTTCTAAAATGAGTATATGGCTACTGCAGCAATTTGATATGTTTACATGGTCTTTTGAAATGAGCCACTGGCTTGCTTTTCTGCTGAACATGAATGCACTGCATTTCAATTGCTGAATGGCTAGTGCAGTAACATGCAGCCTTTGCTTTGCATCTGGTATTGGATTTCAGTGGAATTGGCAACTGTGTGACTTCATTTCTTCGAGAAACTTATTTTATCTTAAATTTATTGGTGCAAATGATTTTTTGATAGGTTGTGCTGTCTGCAATAAGAGTTGTTGCCTTTTTTCATTATTTTCAGGTGTGTAATATCTGTTGAAGAGTGGAGTATTCCACCATGTTGTTCTTTGGTTTTAAAGAGGCGTCAATGTATTTCAATATTTCTTAGTTGAAACTCAGTGTTTAAAGCTTTGATTGCTACTTAAGACACATTCTCTTAATCAGACTTGTACAGAAATACTCCTTTATATGGCAATATGTATTCACTAAATAAACTAGATTGGTGGTTCTGAGCAGCATTCCCTGTTATGTTTCATTAGTTGGAATTCTGTGAAACAGTTTTTCTGAGTATATACTAATATGTGTATGCACTTTTTTTTTGTAGCAACTAACATCAGTAATAATGCAGACAGACTTTAATTTTATGATCTTATTCTGTGATGTCTATAAATTTTGATTTACAAGTTAACCACTGCTCGTGCTAAAGTAAGAATAAACTGATTTTTAGACCTTGGGTAGTTATTTGATTTTTAAAAAATATGTACATTTGATCTATTCTTTGTTCACCTGGCTACTGTTGAAATAAGAATGGCCTGCATGTTGTTGTCATGCTGAAAAAAGTCTAATTTCAGTGAACATTTACAGCAAATCCTACTATTTGCACATTTTGTGATTCTAGTTTTCACTCTTTTCAAAAAAAAGTAAATATAACACTGAAACCTGGGTGCTGCATGATAATCCAATCAATGATATTATTTAATGATGAAACAGTTCAAGGGACTGAGTGGCCCAATCCTGCTCCTAATTAACACTTTCATTAAAATGCCTTTTTCAATGTTGTCTCCCTTCTGAATTTGTTTATCTGTTTATAGCATCACCAATAAATCCAATAGCTGCACAGAAATGCTATTAACTAACTTCTCCTGAAATAGACGAGTCAGCCAATTGCCCCTTTTCCTCTTTCCCACTCTCTAGATTTTCCCTAGCTCTGAAGACTAATTATACTGCTATTCCCTAGCTACCCTGACTGAAATCAGCTACCTCACCAAAAGTATAAGGGAAGTTACCTACATAACTTTTAACCTCCAATTAACTAATGTTCCATTTTGTACATGAATGTTTTTGCTACTTGTTGTATTTCTATGCTTAAAAATAGAATTCTGTTTTAAGGCTAGATTTGAAAACAGTAACTGCATTTAGATGTCAAAGATTAACATATCATCATTTTCCTTAAAATTGGTTTGATTGATAGGTAATAAAGTAATCATAAGCAAGATGAGAGTTTTACGTAAGTTACTACCAAATGCAGTGCCTGAAATAGTGGCAGAAGCAGATTCAATAGTAACTTGCAAAAGGCAATTGGATCAAAAGTTAAAAGGGACAAAAAAATCGTACTGGGGAATGGGGTTAATTGGGTAACTTTTTACTTTTGCAAAACACAGGCCTGATTACCTGAATGGTAGTCTTTTTGCAGTATCATTGTGACTTTGTTACTCATACTTTTAATGTTGGTAACCTGATGGAGCTTAAGTTTCCTGCCTCTAAGCTGATTATTTTTCATGTGTAAATTCATATGAGAGAACTTCCTGTTATGCTAAGTATCTATAGATGACTTTCTCCTTTTTTATATAAAAGTCTGCAATAAAATACCAATAAATGTAAGTTATTTAAACTAAATTGTATGTAATCATTATAATGATAGTGAATCCAGGCTTGTTACATAATGGAGTTCATTTACTTAATCATAGCATAAAGTGGATTGTTGGCAAAGGGTTACAGCACTGTTAACCACTATTTGTCGCTTTTAAACAGATATTGAAGGATAGTTGAAACTTTTTACGGGAAATAGAAGAGCCGCTTCAGTATTTTGGTTTCATACATATGTTTATAATCAGGCCACCACACTAATTGCATGCTTGATTTGAGTGCAAAGCAAATAAAACCAACCAACATAAAAGTCAACATCATGTTGTTGAGCTGCATGTAATGGCTGTGGGAAGAATAGTAAATGTAGCTAAAGCGGGATAGAGTCATGAATTAGCCGGTTGGTTAAAGAAGCAGATTACCTGTGTTGCTGAGGTCATGGCAGATGTGTTTTATGCCTTCAAGTCTGTCTTTTCAATTTGAGCATATTCAACACTTTGCTGATGACTGATCTCTGTCACTTGTGTTATTTCAGTTAATTGTATCTGATTCATTCAATAAAAATTTATGTAATGAAGCCACTAATAACTTGATAATTGGAGATTTAAAGAGTTGGTAAGCCCATATTATATACTTTGTCATGCAGAAGTGATGAATTCTACCAATCAGCATCATAGGAGCAGATGAAGGGTCTAGGCCCGAAACGTCAGCCTCTCTGCTCCTATGATGCTGCTTGGCCTGCTGTGTTCATCCAGCCCTGCACCTTGTTGTCTCGGATTCTCCAGCATCTGCAGTTCCTACTATCTCTAATTCCACCAATCAGTCTGTTTTAAAGAAAGTACTTTTATATGATTTAGAGATAGTAGGAACTGAGGATGCTGGAGAATCTGAGATAACAAGGTGTAGAGCTGGATGAACACAGCAGGCCGAGCAGGAAGGCTGACATTTCGGGCCTAGCCCCTCCTTCAGAAATGGGGGAGGGGAAGGGGGTTCTGAAATAAATAGAGAGAGAGGGGGAGGCGGATAGAGGAGAAGATAGGTGGAGAGGAGACAGACCGGTCAAAGAAGTGGGGATGGAGCCAGTAAAGGTGAGTGTAGGTGGGGGGGGTAGGGAGGAGATAGATCAGTCCAGGGAGGACAGACAGGTCAAGGGGGCGCGATGAGGTTAGTAGGTAGGAGATGGGGGTGTGGCTTGAGGTGGGAGGAGGGGATAGGTGGGAGGAAGGACAGGTTAGGGAGGCGGGGACGAGCTGGGCTGGTTTTGGGATGCGGTAGGGGGAGGGGAGATTTTGAAGCTTGTGAAATCCACATTGATACCATTGGGTTGCAGGGTTCCCAAGCGGAACATGAGTTGCTGTTCCTGCAACCTTCGGGTAGCTTCGTTGCGGCACTGTAGGAGGCCCAGGATGGACATGTCGTCTGCGGAATGGGAAGGGGAGTTGAAATGGTTCGCGACTGGGAGGTGCAGTTGTTTAGTGCGAACCGAGTGTAGGTGTTCTGCAAAGCGGTCCCCAAAAATCTCCCTCCCCCCTACCGCATCCCAAAACCAGCCCAACTCGTCCCCGCCTCCCTAACCTGTCCTTCCTCCCACCTGTCCTTCATCCCACCTCAAGCTCCACCCGCATCTCCTACCTACTAACCTCATCGCGCCCCCTTGACCTGTCCTTCCTCCCTGTGCTGACCTATCTCCTCCCCACCTACACTCCCCTTTACTGGCTCCATCCCCGCCCCTTTGACCTGTCTGTCTCCTCTCCACCTATCTTCTCCTCTATCCATCTTCTATCCACCTCCCCCTCTCTCCCTATTTATTTCAGATCCCCCTTCCCCTTCCCCATTTCTGAAGAAGGGTTTAGGCCCTAAACGTCAGCCTTCCTGCTCTTCTGCTGCTTGGCCTGCTGTGTTCATCCAGCTCTATACCTTGTTATCTCTACATTTATATGATATTCACTAAAATGCTGTCTTTACTTCACTTTTCAAACTAAAACCTTGCAATTTTTATCCATGGGAGCAAGTGGAACAGATTGTGATATTGTATTGTGGGTAGAGGAGACCCAATTTTGGTTTGACCAAATCAATAACATTAGACTACCATTTTTAACCACTTCTTGGTATCACTGCTTTCCTCTCATATTGTTTTCCGTTGGTTGCAGGATACAGTTTTGCACCTTCTAATGCTGGTTTCTCAATTTGCAAAAACAAATGCCTACAGGGTTGAAAGGGTCAGTATTTTTTTATTTGGAAGCCACATTTTGAGTTTGCTTTACACTTTGCACAACAGGTTTGTTTTTTTCCCTTTAATCTTTCTCAGTTTTTCCTGGAAATTCCTGTTTCTGTGTATTGATCAATGATTCAAACTATTTGAATAAGTCACCACAGCAAATCCTTGTTCTGGTTTGGTCCTCAGTGAAATCTGTTTCTTTCTAGCTCATGCATGCATTTGCTAATACGGAGTATATAATGTCTCCCGTCGATATCTGAAAGTATCTTTATCTTTTAACCAAATGAGCTCCATATCAAAGTCTACTTGTGGTTATGTAGGCAAAGAATTCTGAATTCAGTATGCCTGGTTGAAGAAGAAATACTAACCGGTATGATTGAAGTCTCTGTACTCTTCAAATAGTGCTGACGATTATTTATCAGATGATTCATTAAGACGAACAGCCCAGACGTTACAAAAACAAAATTATTATAGACGCTGGAAGTTCTTTTTCTTAAAAAAAAACTCCTCCACAGATGCTGCCTGACTTGCTGGCTATTTATAGTATTTCAAGCATTTTTTTTTTGTATTTCAGCTCAAACTTTAACATCCTGGCTGTGTTCAAGGATGTTACTTCTAATGACAATCACTGAGGAATTGACCACAATTAGACCTTGGGTTGGGGGAGGGAGGGTAAGGGAAGATATGAAATTCATAACCTAATCTAGGAATGCTCTACCAACTAAATCAAGCCCTTCCTAATTAGGACTTGTTCCTTTTTCACAAGGGAGCCAAGATGGATGTGAAGTTTAAATCAGGGCTAACTTTTATCTTTTTGTATTAGAGGCTTGAAGGTGTATGACTGAGTCTTAATCCCAGGATTAATTGGGTGGATCTACAAGCAAGTGGCAAGGGTGGAGAACCAATATAGCACCAGTAACGACCAGAAAGACCCACAAGCAAAATGTTTAGAGTAAAGCATGCAGATGTTGTGCAGTTTTAAATGCAGAAAGCTCAATTATCATTTTAAAATATTTACATATGCATAGTTATTAGTCACTTGGGTGTTCAGACTCTCGCATCTGTAGCGGAACTGTCCTGGACTTTCATTCCAGGACAGTTCAAATGTCCAACTTGCTACTCTCTGCCAAATAGAAACCAGGCCTGAGTGAGAAAACCAACATGAAAATTCATCCTCTTCCTTTCTCTCTGCGCAGATGATGTCAAATGACCTAAATATTTGTTCATTAAAAGGATATGTAACCAGGATAAGATAGATGTGTTCCAAAAGTAAACTGTTGCAGTAGAACCATTAGCAGTATCTGCTTTGAAAGAATGGAAGAGTTTATAAATTTTGTGGTGGAGTTTGGCATTTAAGGCCAGAAGACAGAAATGATAGTCAAAAACTGGGTAGTTTCAAGGGCTTCATTGATGCTGGGTCTCAAATAGACCAAGAATATTGGCTATTTTCGAACTAAAGTTTATAGTGCTTAGAATGGTTTATAATTTTAATTCATTTCTAAGTTCACATTTGGAACCTGGTTATGGGCTTTGAATATCGGATGAATTGAAAATATTTATTATATAATCCATAATATGATTAGTATCTATTCATTTGAGACTTGATACTTGAGCTTTTAAATTTTTTTTTTTTCTGGGGGGGGGAAAAAAAACAAGTGCTTGAACTGGTAACTGAATTTAAGCATTTAGACCTTACTTTCTTTTAGGACAATGCATTAAAAAAAGCTTCTTATAGCTTAAAAGTCATAGAATCCCTACAGTGTGGAAACAGGCCCTTTGGCCCAACAAGTCTACACCAACCCTTGGAGCATCCCACCCAGACCCATTCCCCTTATAACCCACCTACGCTACACATCCCCTGAACACTACGGGCAACTTAGCATAGCCAATCTGCACATCTTTGGACTGTGGGAGGAAACCCACACAGACACTGGGAGAATGTGCAAACTCCACAAAGTCACCCCAGGGTGGAATTGAACCCAGGTCCCTGATGCTGTGAGGCACCAGTGCTAACCACTGAGCCACTGTGCCGCCCATCTTAAATCTAAAATTTAAAACTGCTTCAAATACCAGAGCACTTGTGTGTAATACTATGGCTATCAGCCATTATTCAGTTGGTAGCTTTATGCTTGTACTTGAGTTAGAGCAAGGTTACAGATTCTAGTCCCACTTCAGAGAATTGAGCACAAAAATCTTGGCTGAAACTCTAAAGTGGTACCATGTCTTTCAAGTGGGATATTAAACCATCTGCATTCTGTAGTCAATGGAATGAAAATTTTTTTGCACTATTTTGAAGGAGTTTAGAGGCGTTTCCCCCGGTCCGCACAGCCAGGAAGAAGAGAATGCATCCGGAGTGAGACACAACATGAGTGACTAAGTAGTTCAGGGAATTTAGAGACAGCATAGGATTAGAACTGGTAAATCTTTCTTTTCTTTCTCCATTTTAAAAGTTTAAAATTCAGTCTAATTAAAAGGTCAGTAAGGTGGCTGACTGTGGGATAGTTATCAGTTATCACTTGAAGCCTGAACAGGGCCTCGGTAGGTGTTGGTTACTATTGAAGCTGAACTAGAATAGCGTGAGTCATCTCCGCTCACTGCAGTTCTTTTTGAGAGAGGGCCTGTTGAAAGTACATAACCCGTTACAAGTCAAGAAGGAGAGATCACATCCATAGTGAGATACACCCCAAGTCAGTATATAGTTCGGGGAATTCGGTGCAGAGGGGAAAGGTGCTTTTTGCTTGCCTTTTTGGCTCATAGTTTCTGTTCTTTTTTTAAACAGAATAAGTTAAAGTCCATGATCAGGGGCCCAGCACAA